CAGATTTAATCCCAAGAACAAGCTCGGAAAAGGTGGCTTTGGAACAGTCTATAAGGGCCTCTTGGGAAACAAAGAAGTAGCAGTCAAGAGAGTCTCAAAGGATTCACGTCAAGGCAAGCAAGAATTCATAGCAGAAGTCACCACAATCGGCAGACTTCGTCACAAAAATCTGGTCAAATTAATTGGATGGTGCTATGAAAGACATGAGCTTCTTATCGTCTATGAGTTCATGCCAAATGGAAGCCTAGACAGATTCGTATTCAGGGATGACACGTTAGGGATGGAGAAAGAGGAACCAACACTGAGCTGGGAAAGAAGGCACGGCATAATACTTGGGGTAGCTCAAGCACTCGATTATCTTCACAATGGATGCGAAAAGAGAGTGCTTCACCGAGACATAAAAGCCAGCAACATCATGTTAGACTCAGATTTCATAGCCAGGCTGGGAGACTTTGGACTGGCTCGTACCATCCAACAAAGTGGTTTAACTCACCACTCCACCAAAGAGATTGCAGGAACACCAGGCTATATGGCTCCAGAAACATTTCTTACCGGCAGGGCTACTGTCGAAACAGATGTTTATGCATTTGGTGTTCTTGTGCTAGAAGTTGTCTGTGGAAGAAGGCCTAGTAATCAAAACGAGCAGAACAACTACAACAACAGCATAGTGTATTGGCTGTGGGATCTTTACAGCAGAGGAAGGATCCTTGATGCTGTTGACTCCAGATTGGATGGAGACATTGATGAGGATGATATGGCATGTGTTCTGGTTTTGGGGTTATCTTGCTGCCACCCGAACCCGCATCTGAGACCATCCATTAGGACTGTCCTTAAGGTTCTTACAAGGGAAGCAGATCCACCAGCACTGCCCACTGAAAGGCCTGCTTTTGTGTGGCCAGCCATGCCTCCATCATTCAAAGAGGACACAGAATTTGATCTGGCTGGAGGGCAAATACCACCATTCACAGAACTCACTGGAAGATGACTTGGCCAAGAAGCTAGAAAGGAAACCTTGCTCTTCTGTCAATGTAATTCATTTAATGAAACTTTGCTTCAAAGAGAAGGGTAAAGTAAAAGTTGTAGAGGTAAGTCATTAGGACTTTGAATTTGACTGTATTAAACTTTTGTGGAGAACCTTTATCTCTCCTCATGTAATTTGGTTGAAACCATTTTCTTATTTTGGGGTGGAAAAATATTCCAATGGGAGCAGTTTGTGTAAGTATATAAGGCACCCCTCTGCTCTAAAGCTTTAAGCTTTGATCTTGTAATATGCAAATTATTTAGTAATAGACGTTTTATTTAACCACTGTTTTTTTTTTTTTTTTTTTTTTGACCTTGCAATTAAATCCGCCTACAGCCAAGGGCTGGTTTTCCGCCAGGCTGCAGCAATGTCTGCCTTATTCTATTTCTTTCCTGGAAATGTTTCTGAGTCACATAACAGATTAAATGATTTTGCCAAGTTAATACGAAAAATAAAGTTTATATAGTATACATGTTGTGGAATTAGAACTTGGAAGCAAAAGAAGCTAGAAATAAATAATAATAATAATACAAATTAAAATTAAGGATGAACTACATAAATAATGACGTTTGAAGAAATCCCATATAAATAGTATAGCCAAACGGCTATAATAGATTCTTTTTGAATTTTTTCAGCAAATCGTATAGCCGCGAGGCTATACTATTTTTTACTTTTTAAAAAAAAATAGTATAGCCGACCGGCTTTACTCTTTTGACACGTAGCACCTATGCGCTGAGCCCTCCTTTTTTTAATATATAAATTTCTTCTTAGCCCAAGAGCCTTATTCGTTACTATTAGGCCATTATTTGAGTATCTATTGTCCCTTTTTTATTTTTCACTTTTCCAAAGTTATTACCCATATAAAGATTTTAGCACTTTCACGTTTAATAATATATTATACACGTACGCACGTATTTCTCTTGTTTAATACACATATTTTTCACAAAACTTTTAATAAGACACAAAATTCATGTATTATACACATTATTCTCACATATTATTGAAAAAAAATCATGTATATTTTAAAAAAAAAGCTCAGTTTTCCCTAATTGTTTTTTGAAAATAGTATAGCCAGCGGCTATACGCTTCTTTCTAAAAAAAATTTAAAATAGTGCAGCCGCTATTTGTTTGACACGTGGTGCATAGGTGCTGGCGGGTACATATAAAGAGTATAGCCGTTCGGCTATACTAGATTCTCTTTTTATTTTTTAGGGAATAGTATAGCGGCGCAGCTACACTAGTTTTTTTCCATTTTTTTTAAAAATAGTATAGCCAACCTGCTGTACTCTTTTGACACGTGGCATCTATGCAATGGGCGATCCTTTTTTAAATATATATAAATAGTATAGTCGTCCGGCTATACTTTTAAAAATGAAAATTTAATCTGGGAAAGTTCGCCAGCATAGAGCTGTCCCGACAAACTGTCGTCGGGACAGGTTTTTTTTTTAAAAAAAACTTAAAATATATAATAAAAAAATTAGTTTCTTTATTTTTGTTTTTTAGCCTACTTCTTTAATTAAATATATTTAATTGAGTAATATCTTAGCTTTAATTAGTAATTATATTTTAATTATTATTTAATATTAAAAAATTAAAGAAAAAGTCCACAATATAATTCATTTATATTTATTAAGTCTTCTGTGAAATCATGTTGGTGTCTTAATTAAATTTCTCTGTAACCCAAGAGCCCTATCTATTACTATTAGGCCATTACCTGTATAAAGATTTTAACACTTTTATGTTAATAATGTATTATACACGTATGCACGTATTTCTCATGTTTAATACATGTATTTTTTATAAAAAAATTTCAATAAGACACAAAATTCACATATTATACACATACTTCTTATATATTATTGAAAAATAATAATGTATATATTAAAAAATCTCAGTTTTTCCCTAATTGTTTTTTAAAATAGTATAGCCGTGCGGCTATACTCTTTTTTAATGAAATTTTTTTAAAAATAGTACAGCTGCTACTTGTTTGACACGTGGTGCGTAGGCGTTGGGCAGGTGTATATTAAAATCCTACAAACTCATACTCAACTCACAGAAATCCTACACCAAGCCCTTCTGTGAACAAGACCGTTAAAAATTCTATTAACTACTGATGTGGCAAAAATCAGTCCCACTTTGTCACCTTAGCAGTTAACAAAGTGACTTCTTAGAGCATCTTTGAGGGGAGATGTCAAATGCAGAATGTTAAATTTGAATTTGATGGCTTATGTGACAATTTGACACTTTAGAAAAAAATTAACTCCGCCCGAAATGTCAAATATTATATTATTTTATTATATTTTTAAAAGCAAATGGGACCCATATATTGTGCATAAAGTTTAAAAGAGAGTAAATGATAGTGAAGTCTATAACTAAAAAAATATTAAAAAAACAAAAAGATTTTTTCTATTTAAACCCCACACTTCTCTTAGTTCACCCTAATATTTAAATCATTAAGCTATAAGTTTTAGTATTGTGTAAAAAGACAAAAAAGGTCATTCAACTTAATACTTAACCCTAATACATCTATACACACACCACACACCCCACAACTCTTCAAATTAAGTTTAAAAAAAATACAAACTCTTCTACATCTTATGCCAGATTACTTTTCTCTTTTAAAGACGTTGAACATTGACGAGCCTACCACTTTGAAATCTGCGCAAAAGCTAATGGAAAGACTTGTTGATTGTTGTTTCGCTATAATGTTCTTATTCTCTTCCCTTTGTTTATTTTTTTTTTTTTTTTTTTGGTACTCTTGGCTGTTGATTGCTTGATTGTTTTTATTTTTAATTTAAAATTTATACCTGATGTTTTGTTAAAACTGTTCTCTTTCTCTAGAAAGTATGGGGTAACTTGAATTTTTCTTCATATTATATTAATTGACATACACATTCAAAAGGCACGAAACCAAGAGATTCATGGGAATAGACCAATTGGTGTTTATAGTTATAGGCCCCTGTTTTTTTTTTTTTTTTTGGGTACAGTACATTACATAAGTCTGCCTGTGCAAGTCCAAAAGAAAGAACATTCTTTCTTACATTTACGTTTTCTGGCCTAAAATTTTCTTGAGGGAACTAATAAGATTGTCGTTGGTTATTATAATTGAACCTTGGAAAATAAAATTGTTGCATCTTTCTTTCTGTTGCTCTCTCTTTATTTCATGAAGAGTCGGCAATGTTTGCTTTGGTGATGTTTGAAAAAGTGCAAGTACCAAACAGATTTAAGCAAGTGAAAGGAGCTGGAAAAGCTTATGTTCTCCCCTTAAATACGACAACGCCTCCAGGTTAATGAATTGCTTCTGTTCCATGACTGGAGCTGGAATGTAACTGCTCCTGTTCATGACTGGAGCGAGGACTGAAGATGAAAGTTCTTAGTCATTCCAAGTGTATATAAGAATGAATTGAATATTGATTCTACTACGATTAGGCTTGGGATAACCATTGTATGGAAAGATATCAAATTTGTTTTGTACCTTTTAATTTGATGAGCATGAAGTTTATATATTTCTTATTTCTACTACGATTAGGCTTGTGGGGTTTAAATAGAAAATCTCTTTTATTTCTTATTTTTTCAGCTTGAGGTGTATTTAAGGGTAGTTTGGGAAGATAATTGGGTTTACTTAGAAATTGTGAAAATTTAAATTAAAAGTTGGGGTGAACTAAGAGAAGTGTGGGGTTTAAATAGAAAATCTCAAACAAAAATGTTATGCTTACCACATTTTTCATACCACAATTGTACCACCTCTCTAATAGAAGTGGGCCCCATTGTATTGGTGGGCTCCACCTCTATTAGAGAGGTGGTACAATTGTAATATGAAAAATGTAATAAGCCTAGCATTACTCTTAAAACAATATTTGACATCAAATTTTTTTTATATGTTATTTTTGACATACGTCCAGCTAACAAACCTTCAATACCACCTCCCTTTTCTAATTGCAACAATTTATAATATATAATATGAATGACCACATAAACATGAACAGAACCATAAACCTCTGATACCAGAGCAACTAATTTTCTTTAATAAAAAGAGAATAATATTTCATTACAATGACATATATCCAATCTTTTCTAATATTTGCCAACTGGTAATACCATGGTTTCAAATGAAAAAGTGGGAACAAATCTATATGTCGGACTTCAACCCATACCATCTTCACCAAATGTCAATCAATGCCGAAACCAGAAACGAAACTCTCAGACATTGTCAGCTTGCACTGTCAAGTCCTGTATTCCCAAATCATGATACAAACCATGCACTAATTGAAGTATGGGGCGATCATCTATCCCCTTCTTTACCTGTTAGCATCACCAACTAAAATCAGCCCCTAAAGGTAGCATACCCTTACTGAGAAATATATGACTTAATTTCCAATGATTGTTACCTGTATTGAAAGTGAACCAACAACATGACCAGGAACCAATTCCCAAAACCGTGCTTGAGAAACTTCAGAAACATCTTCCCGGGCAGTAATCTGACCAAAAATATAATGCCAAATTAAACATCAATAACTCCAATACCAACAAAACATAATATTAAACCATACTGCAATAAATTCACACTACCTGTCGCCAGCATTTGCTCAATGCAGAAGTTGGAACGTTTGGTGGTGCCATTTGGAGTAGAATACCACCACTCGCTCTAAATAGTGGCATTACAAGCATAAAAACTGCAACTGAAACTAGTCCGAAACACAAAACTTCTGCATTCTGAACCCTACACAGTTGAAAACAGATCTCACATCGGAAGAAAAATCAGGGGAAACAGAAAAGAGAAGTAGAGAGAGAATGAACAGTATTTACCCCAGAGACAGAAACCAAGATGCCAATATCAACCCTGCACTGGGAAACAAATTTCCATTTACCAGTGTCAGATGAAAGTTCACATGAGAAATACATATAAAAGGAACATGCAGGCACACAAGGAAATTAGTTTACTAGAGAAATAGAAATGGAGGGTTAGAGACGAGAAGGGAGCATATTATACCTACGAATGGAATCTGCAAGAACATGCAGGCAAACTGAGTGGTTGTTCATATCTTCTGCGTTTCTGTAAACTACATGACATGTGTATACCATATGAAAAAACATGTACAGGAGGGAAAGAAACACCTCATTTTCCAATACTCATACTCAAAAGCAAAGCCCTCAAAAGAGTAAGAATCATTTATGCACAATAAGGGAACACTGATGGACACACCAGTACTATCAGTACCAGATATCTCCGGAAAATACAAACAATCAGCAATGAGGCTGATGAAAATGTACGGAATATAATCTCATCATTTGATGTTTCATAGAAAGTTTTACTTTCAAATTGCTATGCCAAAACCTCTCTATCAATTTCGTACAATAGCAATAATTTAGGTGGGGGAAAAAACTAGATGACTTGGCGGCCTTCAATGCAAACTTTTAACTAAGTTGCACTTGAACCAAGGTATATATTGAACGTATTAGCCTGAACTTTCAAAGAACTCAAATAGACTAAACCTAGGTGTAGGTGAAGTAGCTCTCATAAACAAGTACCATGGTAAATTTCATACAGTGAAATCACAAATGGGTCACAACACCAAAACATAAACTACAGCTGGAAACTTACCAAGATTGACACGAGCATAATTTCTGAAGAACCAAACACCAATAAGATTCACCAGTAGATTTGTCACTGCCGAAACAATCAAGTAATGCCTATAACCAGATAATTAGCAGACAATAAGAGCCATAAGAAAAACTGCAACCACAAAAGCAGGAACCAAAAAGTTTCTATGCAGTGATTCATCTAATGAAAAGAGCAGTGCAAAATTAATTTTTTGAATTTGGCCCAATTTAATTAGATAAATAGAATGATTATTCACACATAAAAACGGATGTACTAGTGAGATCACTTCAAAACAATCATTATCTGATACAATTGTCATATTGCCCAGTTTTAGTTAAAGATAACCTAACAAATGCGTGAATCTACAAATGTTTTGGTAAGGAGACAGCACAACATTATTCTGTGTGCCACAAGACTTACTGAAGACAATCCTAGAATTATACTTTAATGTTGCGTGGAATTGAACTTGCTCAGAAATCAGTCACTAGTTGGAATTGCTTAGCTAGTCAATCAACCACACTAGGAGAGGTCTCAGATACATGATTCCTAACACATATAAGAGTGCACCATAAAAACAACCATCCGAAGACACATGAACTGGAATAAATAAAAGTTTTGCAACAACAAGGAAAGCAAATGAGATCCCAGTAGTGTTAAAGTATATATGGCAAAATACCATAAAATAGTGAAGATTCAATTGACACACCATTGGAATAATGACCTAGGAATGTAGTAGAGTATCTGGGCATTGTAGTTTCCATAACCAACTTACTTGTGTTCAGATTCATCCTGTATGAACGCATGAAGTGCTTCCACAGCCAAGGAGAATGACATAAACAAAAGAAACAGCTGTCTACATGTGCAGCAGAATCAAAAACGAAGTCCACATATTAGCCGAGAGGATGCACGGAAGGAAGTAATGCAATAATTAAATGAGTAGAAAAGGGAGTGGAATCCAATGCAACAAGTTGAGATGCATAAAAGATGTTAAAGTGAAAACATACATAGGTCATGGAAAAGGTTTCATCTAAAAGTAGCCACGGAAACAAGCTAACCAAATCAAAACTAATGGCACTTGGATTGCAAGTCACCCAAGAAAATGTACATTAAAAATTGACATAAATTTGATTTTTTAAATGACATCAATATCAGAATTAAAACAAGACTATTACCAATGCCCAGAAAGTAGGAGGACACAGGTAATGTTACACCAGTTAACAAAAGTAATAGAATCAAAGAGTCCCAAATACAAGTACTACGCAAACATCATCACCCAAAAATGAGAAACTAACTTAAAATCCATAAATAAATAAAAAAGTTAGGTAATTTATCACAAAAGTGGGTACAATTGTAATGATATGGGAAACGTGAGATACTTACAGCATTGGTAAAAGCAGACAAAACTTCTAGCCTTTTATACCTGATTCATAGAAAAAAAGGAATTCATTATACACATGATTATCAAATCTAAAACATACCCAAATAGATTAACAATCCAACTCGTGTTCATATCCATAAATACACAACAATCTTACCCATAAGTGTAAATTGCATCAGGTTTCTTTCGAGAAGCAGCCATAGCGAACAATGAAAACGTTAATAAGCCACACCCAAAACTTAAATGAAATGAATCTGACACCAAACCTGAAAACAAAGCACAACAATTCAACCAAAATTCAAAAAATAAAATCATCGAATAAATATAAAATGTGAAATTAATAACAATTTACGAACCTATACGTCCCGTGAAGAGTCCAATACATAGCTCCGCGGTCGAATACGCCACATTAAGCGAAATCAACAAGAACAATCTCTTCATATACCGATTTCCGGACCTCAAAATCCGAAACACCGATTCAAAAACCAACAAGACGGATAATTTCTCGGCCGAAACTCTTCGTTCCCCGAAAAGCTTGTCATTTTCCTCTGCCAAATACGCCCCTGGAGGAACGTCAATGCTCGACACGCTCCGCGAGAGAAACGGCGTCGCCTCAGAGTCATTGAGATTGATCGAAACCGGCGTGTGTGGTTCGTGGTATTGCTGGAATGAGGCTTGGCGCGAAAACGCCAATCTCCGATCGCTGGTGCCAAGTCCTAAATCGGCGCTCCATGTCTGAGGGCCTTTGAACGAATTGCTCTTCTCCATGAAAACACTAATCCAGAGTCTGATTTGAGATATTAGGGTTTGGATTGGAAGGATCGAAGCCTGAGATTCATACTTATTACGAAACCCTAATTTAAAATTAGGGCCAGGGGATGACTGAAAGTCAAGTAAACGAAAGGCAGACTTGTTGCATGGTGTATGCAGTATGCTACATGTATGAATTGTTCAAAATTTGGTAATCATATTGTGGGGTCCAGATTTTGTGGACTTTGTTGCCCCTAGATCAACGGCCTGCGTGAGAGAATCAGATGATTTTTTGTTGTGATTTATGGTAAATTTGTGGTTGGACTTAGACTAATGAGATTTGGAACCATTCAAGCTCAACTCTGTTGAATTCTTTTGCAGTGGATGCTACGATATTGTATGTTTAATTTAAAAAAAATTTCTTTTATATTTTGCTTTATCAAATTTGTTTATTTTGTTTTTGTTGTATAAGAAACCTAAACTTTTCTTATGTTGTTTGTTTTGTTTTGTTTGTTTTTTTTTTTTTTTTGGTTAGTAAAGATGTTGTATTAAACATCATAAGAGTATACAGGGAAGATGATGACAATATCCGAAGGCCAACGTGAAAGCCAGGAACAAGAGCGGAGTCTTAAAAAGATTCGCGGCCTAGGGAAACAATAAAAAAGAAAAAACTACTGCACAAAACAATACATTAGGCTAAACTTCATGGAATAATAGTAGCCTCATTAAAATCTTGCCTAAAAAATCTCAAATTGAGGAAAATCCGGTCAATAAAAAAGAGTATCACTTTAACGTATGCGCAACAACAACCAACATGCAAACTTGGGCCAGTAGACAATGAACAAAAGTTGCACCGATTGGGATTAAAAAAACACCAACTACAACGACACAACCAACCAGTAACTGCTCCACTGCAAAATTGTCTTGTAAGGTAACCGCTTCACATCAAAATTGTTTTGTAAATGCACAACGTCCGTCCGACAAACGATGGCCACATGGTTATCCCAAGATGACCAATAAACAAATTCCCCAACCATGGTGTTGGTCCATCAGTGATCGGTCGATTGATACTTATAAGCCGAACGACCAACCCGATAAACCGACTACATTTTGCAAATTGACCGACCCGATCAACGACTACAGTGTGCCAATCACATCCCACAACCATCCAACACTTCGGAAACCTCTGATAAGTAGTAGTAGGTTTTCTTGTAGGAAGTACTTCCAGTTGGTTGACATCAATTTCCAAATGTTCCGGTATAAAATACTTGAGGAATATTAATTATCAGCTGGAAAGTAAATAAATCTTTGTTCTGAAAATGATAATTAACATCAGATGGAGAAAAAGAATTTCATTAATTTTTTAATCTATGTTCATGCTTTATACAATTTGATTCTCTACAGAAGAAGTGAGCAATTGGAGACAACTGCAGAATGAGGGAACTGGAATTATGCACAAGTCTACGGTAGGCTGAATAACTTCGCATTTTGCAGACTACTGAGTAGTAGAATCAAGATCAAATTCCAATGTGTACAATGGACTTGGACTTGGAATTGGACTTGGAGAAGATATCGGCTCCATTTCTATACGAAGATACAATCCCAACTTCGCCATTGTGATTAAAAGTTTCAACTCCAATTTTCATACAAATGCTGGGTTCTGCAACCATCATTGAAAAGTAAAAGGGTTGGAATTGAGATAACCAAACCTAAATAAGTACATAGATGAAGACTTATGTTGAGGACATTATAGATAAATACAGAAGAAGGTAAAAAAAAACATTGCCCCATCTACAATTTATAGATTTTAAGGAATGACCACTTACTCCATGCAACAGTGTCACAACATCATACCCGTAGGGGGGGAAGGAAATGCCAAAAGATTAAAATGTGATAACTCACCATGTTGTCAGGACTGTAGATGATAATCCAAAGTATAGGCATGAATGTCAGAAGGACTTGTGCCAGGCCTGAAACAAACATCAAGCATGTAAGATCGTTTTGGATATTCAATAGAAATCAAATTTGAACAACTCAACAATGTCTAATTCAATATTAGGGGTGGTTGAATTACTTTTATCCTTAAAAAGCAGAAATTGCACTCATTAAGGTACAGGAGTTGAGCTATTGTTTACTAATTGGAATATCATATAAACTGAACCTACTTTTTATTGATGATACCATAGTGGAACTTAAGTTGTCCAGCCTTTGCATCTTCTGCATACTGCAGCCACAAGAGAAAGAAATTGTGACATAAGATAAATGTCTAGAAGTAATTGAATACATGTTATAGGTAATCGGTATAGCATCCGCAAGAAGCCCATACCAATTTTAAGGTAACCACCATCGATGAAAAAGCCAGAGAATCAAAAGGTATATCATCAAGTGCAAATAGTCGGCATTCTGATGATTCTGGACCTGGTGAGAAGTGGGGCTTCTTCAGCCTTGCTAAGAAAATTACATAAGTCTGTTTGAAAAAACACAACATGAACACAAAGACATCTTTATCAAGTGTATAGCATATCAAAAATTTTAACAAAAATAAAAGAAAAGGTTAATAATGAGAAGTTTCTCACTGACCTGGCCAATTAGTGGGATGTCCAACTGAGCAAAAGGAGACAGCACTTCCACTTCTGCACATGCTTCTTCCCAGGTTTCTCTGATTGCTCCTTCTGTAGCTGATTCCCCAATTTCCATATAACCTGCGGGCAGAGTCCTAAACGACAACTCCCAACGATGAAAATTAGGATAAACATCATAAATTAAAAAAATCTTGATGCTTAAACATAATTTTTTTTCTCCTTTTCCAGAAATAATTAGTCAGTTGACCCTTCCCAGATAAATACTTTATCGATTTACAAACATACCAAAGGCCATATGATGGTTGAATCTTCCTCTTGCAAAGCAGGACCATGTTATCATGCTCAATCAGACAGCCCACAACCTATAAGCATCATTTGAGCAAACAATAACAAAATTGATGTCACATTTGTATAAAACAATTACTCCTAATATGTATAGCACAAATCATATTAGGGACCAAACTTAGGTGACATACCACATAGCCCTAGAACTTCACAATCAAAATACTGAGCACACAACATTACACTTTTTTCCCCTCCTTTTCAAATTCAATCAATTTTACCATTTATAGAAACTGACTCCAGATGATGAAAAGAAGATAAAAGTAAGCAGGCCAGACTGGTTTACAATAGAACCAGAATGAACAGGATTATGTCAGTCTGTGAAGGCACACACATGCATGTCAAATCTATTATAGAGTAACGTCTTAAGTAATGCCAGGGAAAAAATAACTAGGGTAGCCTTTCAAGTATAAAACTATGATGTGAATCAAATACAGCAGGTGAAGAAAATAACATAAATAACCTTTATTTTGCACTGCCATCAAAATCAAATTTTGGAATCAAAAAAACCTTCTGCAGCATAGTATTTCTGAACAATTCCCAAACACTATTAAGTTCCAAAGAGAATAAAGAATACAAAAATCATTCAAGTTAGGATGCATATCATGTGATCATGTAATCGATATTTATGCTTAAGTGAGAGGAAAACCTGGCTGAAATTGGGACAAAAATTGAAGTTACCAGAAAAATATGGCACACATGGATGTTGTATATGAAATATTATATGTCAAAATATTGGTGGTGTTACATGGAGACAAAACAATAATCTAAAGATACTATAGATGAGATCGATAAATTGTTATGCACTTACCCTAATGTAAATCCTAATAAATAGACCGATCACATAGAGACTTTGTTTCAAATCTGTAACATAAAAAATTCAGTCTATTTCCAACCAAGAAGTTCAAGCACCTTGTTATAAACTAATTTCAAAATTAAGAAAAACTTGGGACCTCTTGTTCCTGGCTTGGCACATGCACAACTCAATGAAATTGTCATCGCAAAACAAAGGCTAATTTGAACAGTATACCATTTTTGGGTTCTCGTAGGCAATCTTATCACAAACCGTGCAAATAGCTCTTATCTTCTCCTCTCCATCAGGTATCTCATGCTTTGTTGGGCCACCACACCACTGGCAGAAATTGATCTTACGAACATTGCCCTTCATAGGAATAGAAATTCAATTCATAAAGCACAGTAGGCTATAATAAATGAAAAGAAAATGTTAAAAAGTACAAATGAAATGCTCAATCTAGGTTATAATCATGCACTGTCGTAGTAAAGCATAGAGATGACTTGATATACACTACCATTGTCCTGTCAAAATCTCTAGCTATGTCTACCAATTACTATTTCAATAACTAGAGATGACAACTCAAATATCAAAAGGGGGAAAAGAATAAGAAAGTTCTAACTACCCAATAAATTCACAGGAATATCCACAAAGTTTAAAATTTGATTTATGCAATGGAGCAATGGAGGTGACAGTTCATGCGAAATGAAGAGGCCAACCAAATTTCTCCTCAATTATAAATTATACAGAAGCAAAATGCTTAATCTCATTAGATAACACAAACCCATTTCCCCATACTCAAAAGCAACCAAAATAAACTAGAACCCACCAAATAAATTGAGCATGCACCCCAAAAATCTATACCAAACCCATCAGTACGAAAAGAAATAGACCAAAAAAAAACTTACTGCTGACTGAACCGCGACTGATGAAGAAGGGCCACCTGGGTTTGGCCCAGAATGAGCTGAGGACATGCTGAAAGCTCCAAAACGAGTGCGGCGAGGTGAGGACCCAGGAAGTAACAAAGTGGTTGTTGTAGGTAGAATTGTCGAAGAAGAAGAAGATGACGATAATAACAATGGTTTGGAGCAGGTGGAGATAGAAATGAAGGACACCTGCCTGCTGCCTGTAGAGCTATAGGGCTTCCAACGATGCGAAACCAAGCCTGATGAACAACCCAAGATCTGTCTGGTTTTTAGCATTATATGTATATCAAGAATTTTTTACCAAGATAATCAACCAAATAAACTGAAACCAAATTATGCAGAAGGAGTGACAGCAATATCAATATCGGTTTCTTTTTATTTCTTTTTCTTTTAGTAGCTTTTCTATTTCTTTTGTCCAATACGGATTACGGAGTAGTATCGCGCTTTAACTCAGCCATTTTGCACGAGTTTCATCGGCTCCAATTTTGTAAACTAAACGATGATGTCACTAGCATTATTTTTTTCTTTTTCTTTTTTGTTTAGCTATTAGTCCGGTGATATTAATGTTTCACAACACAACATTGAAAATTTCTCAAATTTTTGTTTAGAAAAATGCTAAATTATCTTTTACTTTAGTTTGTAATAAGCAATATTGAGGGAAGGGGATTTAAACACAGCCTCAAATGAAATAATAACGGCTTTTAACCATTTAAGCTACAAGTCCCTTACAACTTGTCACATGAGCTACAAGTCTCTTACAGCATATAATTTAGGGTTTTTATCACAAATGTTCCTTGA